GGAAATCACATTTTTAATGTTCTCCCATTTAAAAGCTCTCTGTCAATTAAAAATTAGCACATTAAAGTAAAAGATTTTAACCTTGCTTTTTGCATGGTGTGCTATTTTTCTACTGACAAGAAATTTAGGGGAACTGGAAAAAGTAATCCTTCACTTGTAGTCTGAAGTAGTACAGTCCATTCCACACCACATTTTCTATCATCGCATTCTATTCCATGCCTAGATGAGGACTCTGATAAAAGGGGATTAGCCAAATTAATGAAGCATAGTTCCACGAATGGCTATTAGCCATGATGAAAAAATACAACCTTTATGCTCAGGGAGAGGCTTCGTATACCTTCTGGAGCATCTGAGAAGGAGGAGGAGGAGGAGATGATTGGGAGTCTCAGAGTGGCTTACAAACTCCTTTCCCTTCCCCTCCCCACAAAAGACATCCTGTGAGGTAGGTGGGTCTGAGAGAGTCCTTTCCAGAACTGACCTTGAGAGAACAGCTCTGAAAGAACTATGGCTTGCCCAAGGTCATCCAGCAGCTGCAAGAGGAGTGGGGAATCAAACCTGGTTCTCCCAGATTAGAGTCCATACACTTAACCACTGGGAAAGATTGAAGGTCAAAGAAGACGGGGGCGGCAAAGGATGAGATGGTTAGACAGTGTCATAGATGCAACGAACATGAAATTGAGCAAACTTCAGAAGACGGCGGAAGACAGGAAGGCCTGGCGTGATCTGGTCCATGGGGTCGTGGAGAGTCAGACTCGACTGTGCGACTGAACAACAACAACGTACCCAATATACTGATTGCGGCACACAGGATGCTATGCTAGATGGACCAGTGGTCTAACCCAGCAGGGTTCTTCTTATGTTCTTCTGTGGGCAGAGATCTAAACAATTCTTTGTGTGGAAAACTCCCTATGAAGAAATCTGGGGATTTCTCAGTTCCCAAATACTTGTTCAGCCATAATAACTCCCCTCCCAAAATGATAACTTGCATATGAAAATGAGCCATTCCAGGCAATACATCACAGGCAAATCTCAGGGGGGAATCTTAATAATTCTGAGATCCTGGGGGAAAACCAGAATAACTGCCAACCCCTGGAAATACCTTGACTGCAAGCAAAGGCAGGCAGGCAGGTGTTGCAGCAAGTTGGCCGCCTAATACCCACAAATGGGTGAATGGAGGTGAGCAGCTGTCACTGTGAGTAGGTGGCCAGCAATGAGCATCTGCTGCCACAAGTGGGCAGACCCAGCTCTACGAAGAAGGAGGAGGAGGAGATTGGATTTCTACCCCACCCTTCACTACTGAAAGGAGTCTCAGAGCCACTTACAATCTCCTTTCCCTTCCCCTCCCCACACCAGACA